TCCCCACCGTGGGCCTAGACACCCCGCCCCCCTGACCTCCCCACCGTGGGCCTAGACACCCCGCCACTTGGGTTTCCAGCACCTGGTCTACCCTACGTGACCTGATTTTTAATTAGCTCCTTGGACACAATAACCATTTCATCTTCAACTACATTGTGAGAGTGAGGACAGCACAGAAGTGTACGTGTGGGGTCAGCCCCTTTTTCTTTCGACTATTTCCCACCATTTCCATAAATCTTGTAGTGTGTGTATTTGGGGTCACCTCCTTAAATCCTCTCAGGTGTAGGCAGGACACACACACACAAGCCAACTAAGATCATTCTGACCTGAGTACTAAGAATTACAAAGAGGGCCCGGCCTGCATGGTTCAGTGGTTGAGCTGCAACCCAGGAACCATGAGGTCACAGGTTTGATTCCCGCTAAGGTCACAAGCCCAGGTTATGGGCTCGATCCCCAGTAGGGGGCGTGCAGGAAGCAGCTGGTCCATGATTCTCTCTCATCATGGACATTTCTCTCTCCCTCTCTCTCTCTAAAAATCAATAAAAACATACTTTTAAAAACTGACAATCTTTTTTTTTTTTTTAAATAGAAGTACAAAGAGAGCAGCAAAACAACCTCAACCAGAGACCGGGCTCTCCCAGCACACGGGGAGGAAGGGCCGTGAGAGCCGGTGAGAGGACCCACCCCCCACCCCGCCCCAGGACCACCTCCAACGCAGGGACTGGAAGTACTCGCCTTCCTCCGAAGATGCCCTCCGCTTGCTCCTCAATGTGTTCAAAGTCCAGAGCGCCTGCAACGCCAGGGAACGGACCTTAGACGCAGCCAGTCTGAGCACGGGCTGCGGCCCACCTCCCCGAGCCTTGCCCCTCCCCGCCCACGGTCAACCTCGTCTTCTAGAGCTTTCCACCAGAGGCCGAGCCAGCTCGGCCCGGGGAACACCGTGCAGGGCCCCCCACTTCGGCCGGTTTTCTAGGCACTGCAGGACCCCCTCCCCGTGACCCCTCAGGTCGCCCTCCCGCCGAGGGGCTCCGGCCTGGACAGGGGGTGATTTCTGCCACCACCTCGCCCTGACCCTCCCCACCATCTCCTGGGCGGGAAGAACGGCCGTTGGCAGGAAAAGTTGCTGGTGGGCGGGAAGTTTCCTTGGGGAGTTTTTTGTTTGGTTTTTACTTGACATTTCATGTAACCACACACTGGAACCCTCGGCCGTCTCGGACCCAGACCCCCAGGATGGAAGGCAATGAGCCCCATCCCAGGAGGCTCTGGGCTCCTTCAAACATCCCCTCTGCCCCCAAAGAACCCAGGCTCTCGTCCAAAAGACCATGATCCCCCTGGAGCCACCGACCGTCTGGCGTGGGTTTCAGGTCCCTGCAGCCTCAGGCTGGTGGGGGCAGCCCCTCAGCTTAGTGCAGATTTCAGCACCGGCAGCTGACTTAGCAACCGGCCTGTAGGTCCCTCTCCCTGCCTCCACCAGCATCACCGGTGTCAGCAGGTTCAGAACGCGACCCTGGAGGGACACGGGCACGTGGGGGGAGGGGGAGGATGACCCGAGAGGGATGATTTTCTCACCGGGCACGCTGCCGGGCGCCTCCTGGCTGCTGCTGCCCGAGGACGCCTCCGACGTCTGGGAATTGCTCTCGTCGAACTCGCGCTTAAATATGCACAGGAGGCAGGAGATCCTGTAGTCCAGCCTCACGTTCAAGATAAACTGCAGGTTCAAGCGGAAACGGAGACAGAGCGGTCACAGGGGACCACCTGCC